GGAAGATTTGGACGATCTTTTGGATATTTTGATGAATATACTTGAAGCTCTGTTACCGGGTGACATCCATTGATGCCTTGTCAATGAACTTTTCTTTGTTTTCTTCTTTCCCAACAGAAATAATTGTAATAATAACAATAATAATAATAACAGGAAAATCCTTTTACACCAGAGTATGGAAAGTGATTCACTAGTTTTTGGAAGACAAAAAATTTTCTTGAAAGGAAATAAAATTGAATAGGTAGATTATCTAACAAGAACTCTAAGTACATGTTTTTACTTTTAAGTCTGAGAAACACCATAAGGCATTTTTACTTCATCAGTAATAAATAACTGTAAAAATTTGAGAAAAATATTTACAATTCATTTTTCTCTACTTTAGGTGTTACAATTGACTCGTATATATATATGATTTCCTAAGTACAAATAGGAAAATTTTCCTTACAATAAAAATTCTAAATAATTACATCATTATGGAAAAAATAAATAGTAAAACCATATAAAGAAAAACATCAAGGTCATTTAGACAACAAAAAATTCGTGTCAACACTCCCCCTCAAATTAGTACAAAAATATCACACATGTCCAACTTTCATATCAAGTTTTGAAAAATTTTGTTGCAGAGTCCTTACAAAAATACCACACATGCCCAACTTTCATATCAAGTTTGAAGAATTTTGTTGCAGAGTCCTTTGGTAAAGATATATGTTATCTAATTGCTAGAAAACACATGATGTAAGCATAAGGAACCATCAACCACTTTTTCTTTTATGAAGTGACGGTCAATCTCAATGTGTTTTGTTCGATCATGTTAAACTAGAGTTTGAACAATACTAATAGTTGTTTTATTGTCACAAAACAGTGATAAACTTTCTTTTTCAAATAATTTTAATTTCTTTAATAGTTTTTGCACCCACAATAATTCACATACTCTTTGGATCATTGCTATATATTCTGCTTCAGCACTAGAACAGGTAACTATACTCTACTTCTTACTTTTCCATGTAATCAAGTTGCCTCCAACAAGTGTGCAGTAACCGATAGTTGACTTTCTATCATCAGGAGATCCAGCCCAATCAGCATATGTAAATGCTTCTACATTAAGATGGTTATTTCTGGAGAAAAGTAAATATTTTCCTAGTGCAGAGATCAGATATCGTAGTATTCGAAAGACGGCATGTAAATGAGTCTCAAGAGGATCATGCATATACTGACTCACCAAACTAACTACAAATGTTATATCTGATCTGGT